TCGTAGAGGCAGAGAGTAGAAATTACAATGGGGCGGCGAAAGGGGGGAAATGGGAAGTTATGGCTTAATGGGTACAGATTTTGAGATGATGAAAAAGATCTGGAAATAGATTGTGGTGATGGTTAGAAAACATTGTAAATGTTATGATGTACGTATTTTGCCAAAAATTTTTTTAAAAGGTACATGCGGGACACGGGGAGGCATCCATAGGAAAGTAATACTTCATGGGGAGAAATTGTTAACAGAATGATAAAGGCGTAGAAACCATGTGCCATAGGGGAAAACAGCAAGAGAAGGAAATACAAATTTCAGAAAAAGAGAACTTACCCAAATGTTTTTGACCCCACAATTCCTTTGCCCAACCACGTCATCTAGTCAATAAATAGTACTTTGCTACACAGACATTAGTGTGATTGAATTACAAATTTTGGATATAATCCTAAGGTTGTTGTGATGAAAGGACACAGAAACCAACTTGGAGGGGCTCTAAGAGGTCAAGGCTGGACAATTTCAGCATCAAAATACATAATGATATTAGCAGATTATATTTCATTGGATAAAGTAAGAAACCATGCTTCCAGAGTCATAGAAACAAATAGATAACTCTTCCCTAAAATAGAAAATCAATATGTGTAGAAGAAATGAATTAGTAGTTTCCATTTGGAAACCACTATTAATAATAATAGACAAAAAGCAAATGTCATCCATAGGTGCTAAAGTTTGTGGAGGTGAGTTTGACTAATAAAAATATGTATGTATATGTTCATAGGATTTCTTCTCAGGATATTGATTACAAAGAGAAAAACAGTAACTTTACAGTGGGAAATCAGGCAGATACCTTCTTAACTAAGAGAGCAAAGTTAAATTACCAACAAGAAGGCAAGTCAACATTACAAGGTGATAATATGAACTGAAATACAAACAGTATTACTCTGGTAGCATAAATCTAATAGTGAGGAAACATCTGACAGATCGAATGGAGGGACAGTCTAGAAAAAAATGGCCTATTCATTTCAGATGTTCTCATGAGAAAACATCTCATAATGCTCAGAGATAAGAGCTCAAAAACAGTTGAAAACACAGACATTTTGAATAATAACTTTGAATGCTATGAATACAATATAGCAAGCATGTCAACCATATTATTGAAGCATATTTTTGCTTTTTCAGGTTACTTTGAAAATGACCTATCAAGAAGTTAAGGGAATGAGACATTTTTCTTTTGCCTCTATTCTGAACAAATCTCTTTGAGAGTAAGATAAATTAGGCAATAAAAACCTATTGATGACTTAATGATTGTTAACTCTGCCTAGTTCTCTTACGATTCATATATTTTGGTGTCCTGTTTCCTTACTCCAGATAGGAACCTACATTCTCTTCCTCTTTGGTGATCTAGTGAGATGACTGAGAAGGGGAAATGTGGACAGGAAAGGGAGGGGTTGACAGTTTTATTAATGAGATATTTATATTCAACAGCGGTCTGAAGAATGTTATGACATTGGGATGGCCCTTGGGTACAACCTGTGAGGGTCATTCCCTCTTAAACCTCATGTTCACTTCATCCAGGATGATTAGGTATTAAAATCTGTTTTATCTTACCTCAAACCACTGAGTATAGAATTGGGCAAAAACGTTATACTTAAATTACTTTTACTGATAAATACACTGATCTTCATGACTCTAGCTGGCCTGGGCAGCTTCTTCCAGAAAAGGAAACCTCTTTCAGGCATCAAGCAGGTTGAGTAACTCTGTTCACCTCCCAAGTCATTTATTTGCCTCACAGCCAGAGGTAATTACCATTCTGAATTTTGTGTTTATGTGGTAATAGTCTCCAAATAGGGCCCCAGTGAACCATGTCCCTGGTATTCACACCCTTGTATAAGCACCCCTTGAATTTGGGCCAAATCTGTTTATCATTTTTGGCCAACATAGCAGAATTAATGTCCTGTGACTTCCAAAACTTGAGGTATAAGATTTGCACCTTCCACCTACTCTCAAAATGCTCACTCTTGGGACACTCCCTCCCAGAAAACCAGCTACCCTCTGCAAGAAGCCTGAAACACATGGAGAAGCCCATTGGCGTGCTTAGCTTGCAGTCATCAATTGCCAGCCATTGTGGACATACGCTGTTTTGTCTTCAGCCCCAGCTGCCAACTGACTGCAAACACATTAGAGATGCTAATTACCAAGGTATGGGTAAGGCCAAATATGGAACCAAGACAGATACTGTTTTGAGCTGCTAAATTTTGGGGTGAGTTGTTAAACAGTGATAGATAACTAGATGACCTTGTCATTCAATCACTTTTTAGTATCTTTACTACATGTACATAACTTAGAAGAGATTTAATTTTCCAAAACATGACATTTACCACATAGTTTCCTATGACTTTTTAAAACAATTCATTTTTGTGTTTTACATATGGCTTTGGTTCATTTTCACTGTTCTGTTAATAGTCCAGAATGTATCCATTCTATTCATAGACATTGCAACTACTTCCAAATATTTGCTACTATGGTCAGTGCTGTTGAAGAATATCTTTATATATCTTGGGGTGCTTGTATACACTTAACTACCATATATATATATGTAGGAGTGGTACTTCTGTGGTTTATGACATGCACATGTACTTTATGAATGTCAATGATCTGTATCAATATTTATTTCCACTAGTAGAGCATGGATTTAATTCCACATACCCAAAATTCAGTATTGTCACACATCTTATCACCCATACATACGAAATCATACCTGCTTGTAGCCCCAATACACATCTTTTAACTACTAAGTTAAGCATTTTTGCACATTTTTGCAAATTCGTATATCCTCTTCTGTGAAATAAGTTCTCACATATTCAGACTACTTTCTTCTCTACTAGGTTTATCTTTTTTAATTGGTTTCTAAAAACTATTTAAATTTTCCAGATGATAATGGTTTGTTGGGGATGTTGTGGAAAGATCTTTGTATTATTTATAAAATCTTTCCCTATCTTAAGGTCAAAATTATTCTTTACATATTCTTCCCCAAAATAAACAATTTTGCCTTTCTTACATTTTTTGTTTTAGTGAAGATAGGTACCTAGTTTTTTTGTACATGAACCATTTGTTTCTTAGAGATATTATTGAATAGTTCATTCTTTCCCCATATGCTGTCATGAATACTTGAAACATTATGCCATTTTCCCAGCGGGAATGGTAAATACTGTTACCAGTTTAGTCTTACTGCTTGGCTTTTTTATGATGAGGGGTGGGGGGCCGAGTATTTTGATTGTTTTATTTGTATTTGTTGAGATGAACGTGTGAATTTCTCCTTTGTCTGTTAAGGTGATACACAGCATCTGTAAGTTTTCCCATATTAAGTAGCCCATGCATTCCCATGGAAAATCAGTATTTATCATGCTTACTTTTGGATTACATTTGCTGATGCTTTGTTTAGGATTTTTATATTTCTGTTTACAGGTGATACTGGTCTGCAGTTTTCCTCTCTGGTACTTTCCTAAGGTTTTGATAATGATTGTATTAGAATCATTGTGCTTATACCTTACCTCCTTCAGAAGATCCTGCATTAGACTTAAATGGACTTGCAAATTGAATAGATCTCACCTTAAAAATAACTGGGCCTAATATTACTTTTTATCTTTTTTAAAAATGATTTTAGGACTACTGACACCTGGAGAATGCTATGGTCTTAATGTTTGTGTCCCTTCAAAATTCATGTTGAAATCCTAACCCCAAAGGTGATGTCATTAGGAGATGGGGCTTTGGGGAGGTGATTGTCATGAGTGGAGCCCTCATGAATGCAACTGGTGCCCTCATAAAAGAGGCCCGAAAAGAGCTCCCTTGCCCTTTTCACCACTTGAGAATACAAGCAAGCATCAGGAAGAGGGTCCTCACCAGAACACAGCCATGTTGGTGCCTTGATCTTGGACTGCCCTGCCTTCATAACTGTGGCATTTCATTATTGCAGCCTGAACCAACGAAGAGAAGAAGTTCTATTTTCCTGGAAATTTGAAAAACTCAACCATTAAAGAAGGGCTGTGGAGAAAGGGACATTGCAGATGGAGCACTAAATGGTGTAGAAGTTTGTTCCTCACAAGTCTGAAGCAATGAGACCAATTAGTCCCAGGAAGCAAAAGCTGAATTCAGTTTTTTGCTTTGCTTAGTCTCCAACCCCAATGGCACCTTAACTGAGGTATTTTTAGTTCCTTGACAAAAAAACTAATACTTTTCTTTTTAACAAAATGAGCATTTCAGTCCTTGAGTGCCTGCCTATGCCTGACAAACTGGGTGAAGCTAGATGTACTAGCCTCTGTAAAGTTCAACAACTTTAGTTTGACTTGAGATCATTTTCAGTTTGCTCAAATTATTGTTCACAATTTTTAAAATGCTGAAATATTTGAAATAACTTGTTGAAGGATATAAGTCCATTTTTCCAGTTCAGAAAAAAGCACCTGAACTTACAGCCTGAATTTTTGTCTAGTGGCCTTCAGACTGTGTGGGGTGGGAGTGAGCATCATCTCTGATGAGGTGAAGGTGGAATGTCCGAATTAAAGTCACCTGGTTCCTTTTGCCTCCAAGAAAGATGAGTGGAATTCCAGATTGTTCCTGGGCTTTACCAATGGGTGGTAACCAGGGTGCTCAAGGAAGCAGGCTGAGCCTGTGAGCCAAATCATCCTCCTTATGGCTATATTGTGAGATAATTTTTAACATTTATCAGTAAATTAACTTGCAAAAGCAGTAGCTGTCTCAATAACCTTTCTCAACTTAATATAGCAAAGGTAATCACTTTAAGATTAAAACAAGTGAAATACCATGCATTTTGTGATATGAAATAAAGTGACTTTAGAGCTGCTCCCTGAAACAAGTAGTCAGGGAGAAAATTCACAGAACTGTATACCTGCATAGCTTACAGACTGATTTGCTCTTCAGGTGATTGGTTTAGAAGACAGAAAAAAACGACCCAAAAGTTTCAACAACCACAAAATACAGAATTTGCTTTGAAACAATTTTTAAAACCAAATTTTAGTCACAGTGAGGTAGCTACAGGTCACCTGCTTACCGTTCTTCTCCAAAACATTCTTAGTACAATTGGCTTGTATAACACTTACAGTTTCAAAAAAAATAGATTCCTAGATTGTCAAAATTTCATGGCTGCACTTTTACATAAAACCTTCCATAAAACATGCTTTCCAGTGGTATTTGTGAAAGCTGGTGGTGGTTGCCATACATCACTAGAATGAAAATATAATATACTAACATTTTGATCTTATAAATTCTCTATTTTATAATCAGTAATAACTTAAAAACATGAAAAAATATTTTAAAGAAGCCATCCTAATCCTCCTAAGGTAACATGCATCATGAAGTCTCTGATGTTTGACAGCCTAGATTCTGAAGTTTAACTGACAATTAACTAATTTTTATCACTTTCTCCCCAAGATGAATTCTCTGATATTTATTGTGGAATGAACTTCAACTAGATTTTCCACATGCATTTTATGGTTTTTCTCCAGTATGAGTCCTCTGATGATTGGTAAGGGATGAGCTCTGACTAAAAGCTTTCCCACATTCTTTACATTTATAAGGCTTTTCTCCTGTATGAATTCTCATATGTGTCATAAGGGATGAACTTTGTCTGAAGGCTTTCCCACATACTTTACAGTTGAATGGTTTCTCTCCAGTATGAATTCTCTGGTGCTGAATTAGAGCTGAGCTTTGGTTGAAGGCTTTTTCACAGTCACTACATTTATAAGGTTTCTCTCCAGTATGGATTTTTCTATGAGTATTAACTGCTGAGTGGGAACTGAAAGCTTTTCCACATTCTTTACAATTATATGGTTTTTCTCCAGTATGGATTCTATTGTGTATATTAAGCCGTGAAATCCAGGAGAAAGCTTTCCCACATTCATTACATTTGTAGGGTTTTTCTCCAGTATGAATTCTTTGATGCTGTATAAGAGCAGAGCTTTGGCTGAAGGCTTTCCCACATTCTTTACATGCATAAGGTTTCTCACCAGTGTGAATTCTCTGATGTATAATAAGGGCTGAGTGGTAACTGAACACTTTTCCACACTCATTGCAGTTAAAGGGCTTCTCTCCAGTATGAATCCTGTGGTGTCTGCTCAGCCGTGATATTGAAGTAAAAGCTTTCCCACACTGGCTACATTCATATGGTTTCTCGCCAGTATGAATTCTATGATGTTGAATAAGAGATGAGCACTGACTAAAGGCTCTCCCACATTCATTACACTTATAGGGCTTTTCCCCAGTATGAATTCTCTGGTGATTATTAAGGGATGAGCTACCTTTAAATGTTTTCCCACATTCATTGCATTTATAGGGCCTCTCTCCAGTATGCATTCTCTGATGTCCAATAAGAGATGTAGTGAAACTGAAGGCTTTTCCACATTCACTACATATATAAGGTTTCTCTCCAGTATGAACTCTCAGATGCTGAGTTAGAGATGAGCTTTGGCTAAAAGCTTTCCTACATTCCTTACATTTATAGAGCTTCTCTCCAGTATGGATTCTCTGATGTTTACTCAGGGAAGAACTGTGGAGGAAGATTTTCCCACAGACATTACATTTGTAGCATTTACGTACTATATTGACTCCCAGTTGTTTAAACAGAATTGAATACTGCTGTGAATGGGGTTTCCTTCCTCTGGAAGCCATTCTGGGTTTTCTAGTAAGTGATGATTTTAGAGCAAGATTCTTCCCCAGTTCAATACCTGTAAAGCTTCTCTCCATCATGTAGGTTTTTTTAATGGTAATTAAGAGTTTCCTGAAGGGTTTGCTGTTTTGGCCTTGCTGCTTCTCTAGTTTGTCCTCATTTATGTAGGTCTTTCCTGACTTGAAGTCAAAAGGAGCATCATCTATGAATTTATTCATTACTTCCTGACCTTCTTCTTCTGAAACTGTGGTTTCAAACAAGCTCTCCCATCCTAAAATAAACAAAACATGTTAAGTCTCCCTTGCACTGAGAATAAAGAAAAGTGACATCAAAATACACAAGGGCCACTAACAAATACATTCTTGGAATCTTAGGAAAGGATGGGGAGAAAAGAGGAAGAGGAAGAAGTGGAATGGAAAGGTCTAAAGAAACCTACATATAGATGGGCTGGGGAGCTCTGAGGCAAGCTCTTCCAACAGGAGCCAGGCCTGACCTAGTCACAAAGCACAGGTCAGAGGGCATAGGGCACTGATGAATACAGAAGGAGGTGTAACACCTCAGTTTTATTTCCCACATCAGCCATGAGTGCATTCTAGGTAAACCCAGAAGAAAACTGCAGAAGGTCTATAAATAAAAGGTAGAAGAGCTACTGCCCCTAAAAAACTCTGAATAAAACACAGAGCCTCCACTAGTGCTGTTTTGGGATTCATGTGAGGGTTATATATAGTGTGTGATGGACACTCACTCAAGCAATATTTACTGAATGCCCACTATGCCACACACAAAGGTCAAGACTAAGGATTACAAGCAATGTGCCAGACAAGAGTACAATTTTCACAAGGTTTACATTCTAGTATCAGGATATGGACAATGAACAAGTGACCAAATAAACATGGAAGTACTAGGAATGAAGAGAACTAAAACAAAAATGAGGTTAATATGTAAGAAGAATGAACAAGCTGATGATTTAAACTGGGTGATAAGGAAATAAAATTAAAGATGAGATGCAAATAACAAGAGCTGGACATGCTAAATGTTGGTATAAAGATGATTCCAGTCAGAAAGAATTGACACAAAAGCCCTAAGGCAGGAGTAAGCTTTGTATGTTTGAGGAACATAAAAGAATCCAGTGTAGCCTAACCAAGAGGGAACAAGAGGAGAGTGTCAGGAGATGAAGAAAAGAGGTAGGTGGGGCCCATATCATATGGCACCTTGTAAGATTTAAGGAAGCATCTGGAGTTTCTTCTAAGCATCTTGGGATTAGAAGGGATATGGTTTCATTTAAAAGGATCACTCTGGTATATGACAAATGAACTGTAATTGGGTGTGGGGGGAAACAGAACAAGGGCTGATGTAGAACAGTCAATCAGGAGTTTGCCAAAGCCTTCCTGGATTGAGGTGATGGCAGTTTGCACTGACATGATGATGGGGGTGGGCAAGTTTGGGATGTTTTAGAGGTTGAGAAGATAGGAATATTCCCCATGAACAGAATGTAGAGAATAAGTCAAAGAAAGGACTCAAGAATGAATGATGCCTAGCTTCTGGCTTCAGCAGCCTGATGAGGGATTGGTGTCATATAACAATATGGGGAATACTGGGAGAAGAGCTCAATCTTCAGAATAATTTCTTGTCCTACCTTTTTGATCGCTTAGGATACAGCACAAGACAGGAATAACTGGTTCAAAGAATGAATGTATTTTATGAAAGGGCTTTTAATTTCTTACCAAAAAATGATATAATCACTGTAAGAATTAAGAAAATCCACAAAACTATAAAAATGAAAATACAGTTTACCCATAAATACATGATAAAAGTATAATAATTGTTCAGTGTGTAATTTAACTCACCAGAATTTTTCTGTATATAAAAAACACATATACTTAAGAAATAAAAATGGATTGAAACTAAGCTTCCCCCTGCCCCTTTTCACTTAAAAAATTGTGAGCTTCTCTCTGTCAATAAACATAGGTAGACACCATCATTTTAACAGTTATGTAATATTCTAATGTATGAACATATTACAATTTAACAGATCCCCTTTAAAATGCCTGCAAAAGAAGATCAAGTTGATATTAATGATTTCTCTGCCAACCAGAAAGCTCAAAACCAAATTTGTAACTCATCCATAGCTACCATTCTGGTCCTTACATGTATTTATTTTCTAAAGTTCTGACTGAATTTCTGTGTTATTATATCAGCTTCACTTTCCTTGAATTGCTGGTGGAAGGTGACAGAATATATGTTAGTATATAAGTAGAAAAAGCTGCCTGAAATGAATAAAGATATGAGTCGGCAAAGCAAAGGGCCCTATAAATGCCAAATAACAGTATTTTTTAAAAAAGAAAAACTCCTTGATACAATCTAATGAATCTTCTGAATTCCAAAGAGAATATCCCTTAATATTCTAGAGAAAAGACAAAAAGGGGGAAAAACAGGTTTTCTGTGTAAGAAATAGAGAAAAAGAATCAAGCTAACAACTTTTTATCAACAAAACTCAGTGCCCAAAGACTGTGAAGTAAAGTTTGAGCAATTCCGAGGAAAAAAATTAACTGATGCCAGAATTCTAGATCCAAAACATAATTCCCACAGAAGAGGTAAAAGAATTGATTTTAGACATGCACAAATACAGCACACATGAACTTTTCTGAAAACATTCTTCAAGAAAATATTCTAGTCAAACCAAAGGGAAAAGTCTTTAGACCAGGTTCATGAGTGGAAACGCAAGACTGAGCTGACACAGACAGCCTGTCACCTGCATTGAGAGAAATAAATGCTGGATAAATAACAAAACTCAAGAGAGAGCCATCCGCTGGTGCTGGAAAGAAAGACAAAATTCATCAGAACAGAAAGCAAGAGTTTATTGACACAGCAACCCATAGGAATTATAGAGATTTTAGAGATATATCCTAGCAGCAAAGGTCTGGGACATCTGCTTTCTCTTTCATGACGTATATAAATATACGTGTATCTTTTCTGTCTAGCTGAACCATTTGTATTAAGTTGCAGACAAAACAAGTCAAAGCAAAAACGGAAGATAGAACAAAGAAGAAGTATTGTAGTGATAAAAGGTTTGGAATTTAAGAAAATAATCAATCCAGTAAAAGAAAAAAATGGGAATGATATGAATCACAAACCTTTACACATTACATGTTGTACTACATATTCTGCTTCAAATGTCAAGGGTATATGACCAGGATTCAACTTGTCTCTCTGAACTTGACCTAGCAAGTAGTCATAAAGGTGAGTGAAGATATGCCTTCCCAGTGTTTCTCACTGGGCCTGGCACATCAAAGAGAGCCCTGCTCAATGTCTCCTAAGCACAGGCTCCTTGCTGAGAAGCAGTTTCTAGGCAGTTAGAAAATGCTTCACCCACTTCCCAAGTACTGTCACTCACCTACACATGTGCCTTGAGAAACTCCATTTTCCACCATCCAGGGGTCTTCCCCTTGCTCTAACTGGAAAATAACCTTTGGTTTGGAAAACAGAATCCCTGTTCATGGGCAAGAAAGAGAATGAGTCTGTAGCACAGACAAGAGTGGCCACATGAGTAGGATCCAGCCCGAGGGTCTCAGGGGCAGTGGGACAGCTGAAGGGAGAGTTTTGTTCTGAGGGACTTAAAATTGGGCTCCCAGGAAGCACTTTCAGGAAGAAAGTTAGGGCTCTGGCTGTACACTCCATTATGCTGGAACCTCTTGTGAGGCCCAGGAAGATAGAGTTTGGTGGGGCAAGAGACAGAAAAAGCATAGACAGGATGCCATTATCAACTCTACCAAGCTGAGATCTCTCCTGGCAGCCGAGGGGAATAGCCACTGCCATTCTTGAAGCCCACCCATGGGCTGAACCTGGACAAGCTCTCCACTGTGTTGGAGAAGGCACCAAGATGCTCCTGAGCAGATTCTGCACCAGGAGGAAAGGTCCTTACCCAGCGAGACCAGGGCGCTGTAGTTCTCCAGCATCACCTCCCGGTACAAGGTCCTCTGCGCAGAGTCCAGGTGCAGCCACTCATCCCGGCTGAAGAACACTGCCACGTCCCTGAATGTCACAGACACCTGTAACAGCAGGACCATTCCTGCTCACCCAGGACCATCCCCACAGTGGGATGCCACCATTCAGAGTTCTGAGCATTTCCAGCCAAATACTTCCTGACCACCCTTGGTTACTGAGTACATTATTTACCACGTACCTTCTGGGACTGAAGCACTGTGCCCAGAAAAGGGAAACACAGCAGCCCAAGAAGCACTTGAAATCAATCAACAAAATCAGATGATGGAAACAGAACTGGAGACATGGAAATGTACAATTACCTCTCCCTCTCATTCTGTAGGTGAGACATGAGAGTCAGGCCTGAGGAGGCGGCTCCAGCACACTCAGGGAGGAATGTGTATGTCTGTGTTCTGTGAGCCATCTCTGTGTCCTGGGTGACAGGACCATGACGTTTCCAGTAAAGGAGGCTCGGAGAACACCCAGGCTTTGCCAGGAGAGGGCCCGGGGTGGTGGGCTGTCTAACCTCCCAACAAGAGCCACGTGAGAAGGCTACAGTTGGAACGCTCCCTCTCCGCCCCTGAAGCCTTTGCTCTGCTGCCTCTCCCCTGCTTCCTGGCATCATGAGTGACCTCACAAATAGTGGCCCCTTTCTTTCCTTATGAAGAATCTGATTTTTTTCTTTTTTTACAGAAAATTAGAAAAGAATAGACAAAATTAAAAGAAATGTTAACTTTCTACCACCATAAACAAGTTTTGTTAATTTCTTGTTGTTGTCCTCTCAGATATTTTACATGCTAATACAGCTCCAGATTTGAACAGGGATGAAATGGTATATAGGTAACAACCACACCCAACCTTCTTTATTTGCATAAATGAATCAGTTTGTTTAACTAACGTTCGGATGGGCATTTGTTTTTGCTTTTATAACTCTAGAAGTGCTGGGGTTACCGAGCACTCCCCTACCATCAGAAAAGCCTGCAAAGCTTATTTCCCTGCAACACATTTCTAGAGGTAAAAATGCCAGGTCACAGCTTGCTTTCTCTTTACCATGCCCAAAATGCCAAAAAGGAGGTCATGAGGCCAGGGATATTCTCTGACCTGTAAGGGCAAACACAAATTTAAAATAATAAGAGGCTATTGGAAATAAGGGAGAAGATTCTCACCCACTTTCTGTTTTCTTTCTGAATTTCCTTCTCTGTTCTTTCCCAATGTACATACAAAGCTCCCTCTTACCCATGGGGGATACATTCCAAGACCCCAGTGAATGCCTCAGACCTCAGACAGTACCAAACCGTATATGTACTATGTTTTTTCCTATACATAAGCACCTATGATAAAGTTTAATTTATAAATTAGGCACAGTATGAGACTAACAACAATAATAATAAAACAGAACAATTATAACAACATCCTGTAATAAAAGTTATGTGAATGTGGTCTCTCTCTCTCAAAACATTTTCTGTACTATACTCACCCTTCTTGTGATGATGTGAGATGTTTGTGATGAGATGAAGTGAGGTCAATGACATAGGCGTTGTGATGAGTAACTGAAACCTGGGAAAGCTAAACCAGGTAAGGGGTCTGAGGCGACTATAAAATCTTTTTAATGGCAAATGAGTGACTTGCCAGTCTCAAAACTTAGGACCATTTCCTTAAAGGCCTGGTAACTATCGCTTTGAATATGCCAATCTGCCAGTTTCCTGGGAGGAGATAGGCCTAACTTGTCACCTGACAAATTTCCAAATTGCAAAACTGGGTTGTCACCACTTAGCTATATAAGGGGGAGCCTTCTATCTCTGCAATCTTTTTAGTGGACTGCCTGAGATGCAATTTCATTCTGGCTTAACGATTAGTCAATAATAAAAGTGCTTTTTTCCACTTCTGCCATTCTGGAGAGGTTTTTCTGGGTTGGGAGGAGACTGTGCTTTAACTGTATTTCCCCAAGTGCCATGAGAGGGCAAAGAAGGGAAGAAATCACACAGTGGACCAGACGTTCCTCACCTCAGGAAAGGCTCACTTCCCCACAACTGCCTCCCAAACCACTGCCCAAGCGCAGCTAATACTAAGAAGGATCCCTGACCACACCTGCTGACTCACAGGTCTCCTTTCTTGGATCTTCCTAGAAAATCACTGGACCCTCACTGAGGTAGGGCAGGGACATGGGACAAGCACCATGATTAATTTTTCCTGCCTCTGATGAAAAATGCCAATATAAATTATATAGTAAGAACAAGAGGGACTCCATTTTAAGGCTAAGATTCCATTTTTAAAAACCAAGGGAGTTATGAGGTAATATTCCTAACATACTTTATGGTAATCAGCCTATAAGTGACCCTATCTTAAGGCAGGGCAAGTAGTCCTAAATAATATGTCCCCACTGCTTGAGGGTAACCACTATCTTGGAGAAGAACAGGATCAAAAAATTCCTTGTGATAAGTTTATCTTACAGAATAGAGGACAGACTACAGATGGTGACATAAGGTCTCTCACAGGAGACAGACATTATGAGACTCCATGTCAAGCCTATTGCCCCCTGACCCTTTGCCCCATTCTTGAAAGCCTTAAAGAAAGAATCCTATGCCCTTAAGCACCTCTTCCCTGAGGTTGCTTGCACTCCCCTTTCTTCAAGTGTGTACTTGACCTTTAATAAAGCCACGTCACTGCTCAACTTACTGTGTTTTGTCTCTGGATTTCCAAGCCTCTTGGGAGGTTAATAAAAGTCTTCCCAGTGCTAAGATTTCATGATTTCATTCAATTTTCTAGACTCAAGCACAAATCTTCACTCTGTCCTACTTCAGACAAGTAAGGAATGTCTACTGAGATCTCTGATTTGGGTTTGCAAGTTCCCATTACCTGGGTAACCTGGAAGAGACTGCAGCTGTACAATCATGCTCTTTAGGCATCTGCCAAAAATCTTTCTTTGCTTTGGGAAGTTGTCAAAACATAATCTCACTCCATCTAGTGCTCTGTGGCTCCCGGAAATCCTGGGGTGGTAGGGACTTAGTTCCCACACAGCGCAGATTCAAAGGGTCACTGGATGCCAGTTTACTCTGCCCTACGCCAAGCTGGAGTTCAGTGAACTTCCCTTTCCTCCCTCTGCTCTTCCTTGTTCTCTGCTGCCTGCTGCCATTCACTGCTAATCTCACTTTAATGAATTCCTTCCTTACCTACACTTGTCCTATCTGGTCAAGAACTCTTTCGATCAGAGTCAAGAACCCTCTCCCGTCCAGGCTGAGGTTTCACCTAGTGCACAGGGAGAGACTTCCTCAGTGCAGCTGCCCAGCAACATTACCAGGTACTACTTTAGCTGACTGGGCTTCATTTCCTGGAGGGTAAGACCAGCCTGTTCTCTTCGATTTCTAGTATTATGGAAGGAACTGATTGCCCCATGTTTCTACCCTCCATCAGGCAAAAACATACCTGGATCCCTCACAAAGCTCTGGGTATGGCACAGGTATGGAACTACAGTCTCATTCAGTTCCTAGTCAGCAAGTACTTAACTGTTGCATGGAAAATTTGCAGTGAGACTGGCCCTGAGGCAAGGGAAACACCTTCCTTCCAGAGTTCTTCACCAGCCAGGCCCTTGGCCCCTCCAGTCTTCACTGCCTAAAAAAGCTCAACAAAGGATAAAGCTTGTTCATGACCTCTGAACTTGGGAGGTGCAGGGACCAAGGACAGGTCACCCCAAGATGTGCCATCGTGGCATGCAGACTATTTCAGAGTTGAGAATAATTAAGGCCCAAAAGACTCAGAAAGAAACTTTGACCTCCCACACCACAACTACATAAAAAGAATTTAGATAGAGAACATGCTCCAGAAGGAGAGCTATCACCTTAGAGAGCTATAGTACAATGTGAACTAGGAGTGACAGGGAGGAATGTGACAAAGCCTTAGGTTCAAGTTTCTATGTTTACCCCTGGGTTCTGTGTGGCCCATCAAGTGTTTTGTTTATCAAACATTTACTTTGTTCATATTCCCCATGAACTGCTTCCCTTTTTCTTTGAAGTCTTAGACCCCCATCCTCACCTCCTTGGTTCAGGATGACATATATACTTTATGCTCCCTGACTGTATGGCTTCCCCATATGTATGTAATTAAACTTCGGGTTTTTCCTTCTGTCACTCTGTCTCATGTCAATTTGATTCTTAGACCAGCTAGAAGAACCTCGAGGGGTCAAGGAAATTCCTTCCTCCCAACAAAGACAATTCAAGAAAAAACTTCATTCACCTTAGCCTGGGCCGGCAGGAACCCTGTGGCCATTTCCCTCTCCCTGCTGCCCCTCTTGGAGAAGGTACCTGAAACGGGGAAAGAAACTGTGAGATCTCTCCACACTGGCTGTACTCCTGACCTCATTAGGCAAGACCAAGTTAGAAATCTCCACACCAAGCACCCTGCAGAAGGAAGCAAGCGGGAACCTGGAAGCTCAGGCATTCCTGAGTCAGAGGGCCCCGGGCATGGCCACAGAAACCAAGGGTGTGCAGGAAGCACACTTCCAGTCCCTGGGCCTCCAGCCTCTCAGCAGGTGGTTCATGAATAAAGATGCATCGAACTATGGCATTAGAACCATCCATGCAATAACAGAGTAAAGGGAAGTCATGTCAGGCTCACAGATTAAATGAAGTAACAAACATTCCACACAGCTGCACTTAGATATTTTGAGCTATAATACTAAAATTATAATAATTATATACACACAACATATCATTATATATAATGCGTAATACTGTAGAATGATAGCAATACTAATTATAAGAATTCTTCACATAGCATTTGAAGAATTGGGGTCCTTTTCAGGAACAGCCAACCAAAACAGTACTCTCTTCTCTTCCTCTTGGAAGTGGCTCTTCCTTTATGAAGAAAGTGTTATTAAAGCTCCTTCATTGTAAAAGGAAACTTGACCCACCCATTCTCCCCTCCCAATTCCCAAAACCACAAGGCTCAAAAAAGAGCATACCTGGCTAGAAACGAACTTAAAAGTTAGAGGAAAGTGAAGTAACTTCGCAAGCAGACAAAATAATTCTAAACAAAAAAGATAACGGTTAAATCACTAGGATTCACTCTGGGAAGACAACACCAAAGCCAAGTTGGACAAACCTCGTCAGCGTAAAGTTTCAACTCTGGGGAGGGCAAAAACCAACAAACGCGACGAGCCGAAAACCGCCCCAGGGTTCACGAAGCCTGAAACCAGAAACTTCCCGCAACCTCCTTCCGGGGAGCATTTCTCCAGGAGCCCGGCTCGAGGCTGAGGCCCCGGGGTCTGTTTGTGGCAGCCTGGACTTCCGGCCTCCGCGCGGGGACCCCGGCAACGCCCCCTTCGCGAGCCGCGGTGACCTGCCGAGGCCGCCCGGGCGCGGACGCCCGGAGCCGGGGCGCGGCCAGGACTCGCGCCGCGGTTGGCCCTCAGCCCTGGTCCCGCCGCAGGAGCTTGCACACCCGGGCCTTCTGACCCGCAGCCTGTACCTGGGCCCGCCGCGACAGGGACTCCAAGCGGCGGACCGTACTGGAAGCTAGCGGGAACACCTAGTTCACGGATATTTTTTTTGCCGCCGCCGCCGGGCCCCGGGCGCAATGCGCCTGCGCACCAGAGAGCCCGCTCCCTGTTCCCACCCCGCGGCGCTTTGCTATCCCTTGGAACTACGTTTCCCAGACGTTCCCGGGACACGCTACTTACGGTGTCCTAGCAGGGTCAACAGCAATCTTGCTATGAGCCTGAGAAGCTTAAAGCCGCGTCTTAGAGCCTCGGGTCTAACCTCTTCTTACCTTCTTGAGCATCGTTTTTTACTTTTTCATGATTATAATAACAATGGAAATCAGAGGGAAAAGTGAGTATGTATTTTAAAACGTGGAAGAATAGCCGCTCGCTGCGACTTTTCTTGGTTGGTGAGAGAACTGTTTTACAGATCTGTTTACAGCATCTATTTTACAGATTTTTTAATTTTAAAAAATCTTAAGTTTTGTAGCATAAAAGATCCGTTTTCTTAACGTGAAATTGCAGTCATAAGCAAATGTTGCTTAGGGAACAATAATTATATATTAACCTTAACAGAAATAAAAGAATATTTGTCTTAAAATGCAGGATTTTGTTACATAGCCTTTCGTCATGCAATTACATTACTCAAAAATTTTAATTCCCAAAGGAAAATTATTCATGCTGTGTGAGCTTTAAAGGTTGAAATGTTTAACTGCAACATCAACCCGGGCGTGATTCATGATATGTCTCCCCTGCACGAGGGAATTTCGATTTACAATTAACATGGTGAAAATCTTGTATTAGAATTCTGCAGAGTCTTCAATACCTTATCTAGCTCTTATTCATAGTCCTATCTATAGCTTTGAAGAGTCCTGGTAAGTTTCCCTCCTTTGCAACCTCACTTTCCCACCTCATGGAAATACAGTCTCCCACACACATGATGGAAGACAATAAAATAAGTTAGATGTCTAAATTTCGATTATACTTCTCCTTGTTGATACCAGGATATTAGTATGCAGGCAGTAATACTACTTCAAGAGATGCAGACAGCAAAATATATATTTGATGTTTTGAGAAGGAAGCTACCAACAACTGAAGTGATTACTCAATCCTTGGTTGACTTCTCTCCAAATAGGTCCGTGGTCCCCACTGGTGCTTTAGGTTCTGGTAGAAAAGCCCTCCTGCTGGGGGTTTTGTTACACTCCCCAAGCCACTCAAAGCTGAGCTGGCATTACCTCCCCAAAATGGAGACCACATCTGTTATAAACGTCTTTCAAATTCACTTGTTTCTTCTAAAACTTAACCTCTATTATATTTCCAAAATTTTTTAAAAGCAAAAACAAATTTATGCTATTTTTTTCTTTCAGATATTAAATATTGACAATATTTTCTCTGATTTCATTTATATTTTGGTATACTGACTTTCTAAAACTTAGATACAATTAACATACAGCATTGTATTTGTTTCAGGCGGACAGGATAATGATTTGAAAATTGTATACACTGTGAAATGATGACCACAGTAAGTCATCACAATGGTTACCATCCATTACCATACGTGATTACGTTTTTTCCTGTAATTAAAAACTTTCAAGATATACTCTCTTAACTTTCAAATATACAAGACAGTATTGTTAACTGTAGTCACCATGCTGTATGTTACAACCCCATGACTTACTTATTGTATAACTGGAAGTCTGTACCTCTTGACCACTTTCACCCATTTTTCCAATCCCTTTTCCCCCACCCCTACCCCAGCCTGATAACCACCAATCTATTATCTATGAGCTTTAAGTTAAAGTAGCAGCCAGTGCAAGAAGGATACTTACCACCCTCTTCTGTCCCCTGAGAGAAGTAAATAAATTTCACTTGTGAAAGGTACCTCCCTATATCAGAAGGTAAAGATAATCCTTATCACCAGGGGTAGGGAATTCAGAGCCAAGAAGGAGGTATAAACAAACCTTGGTACTTCTTTACTAATTTGCTACCCCAAGCCTGAACTTGTCTCGTTAATTCTTCTCAAATTTACTGTTTCTTTGACTAAAAGGTATAAAAGCTGCCTGCTTTGGTTATTTCTCTGAATCTCATATTTATATGAGCTCCAGTATGTACAATTAATTTTTTTCTCCTGTTAATCTATTTTATGTCAATTTAATTTTTGGTCAGCCAAAAAAAAAACCCTCCAAGGGTAGAGAAAAAGTTTTCCTTTCCTACTATATGGTATTCCTATTTTTAATTTTTTGAGGAACTTCTATACTGTTTTCCATAGTGGCTGTATCAGTTTACATTCCCACCAAAAATTGACAAGTGGTCCCTTTTCTCTGCAGCCTTACCAACACTTGTTATTTTTTGTTTTGATGATAACCATTCTAATAGGTGTGAGGTGATTTTTCACTGTGATTTTGATTTGCATTTCCCTGACGACTAGCTATGTGAAGTATCTTTTCATGTGTCTGTTGGCCATCTGTATTTCTTCTTTGGAAACGTATATTCAGATCCTCTGCCCATTTTTTAATCGGATTTTGGGGGTATTTTTTACTACCGAGTTGTTTGAGTGTTTTATATGTTATAGATAGTAGCCCCTTCTCAGATGTCTTCCTCTTAGTTCTGAGCTCTGCTCTCTTTGCATTGAGTTCCCTATCTAATTGGCTTTCCAGTCCAGGGTTTAGCGAGTCAGTTTAAGTGGGTCAGTTTGCCTGTTAATTCTGGAAATTCTTACCCTGCCAGGAAAGTCCTTCCCATGAATAGCTCAGAAAATGAAACACTTTTGCAAAAGCATCAGAGTACAAAAGTAACTCCTTGTAAATGACAAGGACTTTAAAAATGTCATGATTACAGATCCCTTAGAGTTCATTACAATGCACTTGACAGGGAAATTTGGTTATTTCTGGTAAACATAGTAAGATAATAACTAGGATTATGACTGAAATAATAATTATCCATTTAACCATAGTGATAACTGAAGATTTCACTAGCAAATATACAAGTTGTATTTTTTTACGTATTTGCATGTATAATTATGTGAATACAGAATTACATAATTCTGAGCAGAACAACTCTTTCCATATTGAGAGTACCACTTTTAACGTAGGTGATCATTTTGACAAAACATAAGATCTTTGTTTTTTCTAGGCAGATTTCTTAAAAGGTAAAGAAAAACCTTTCATAATCTGTCATTATCAAGAGCATATCAATAGTCCAAGAAAACTTCATCCTTCTACCTGAGAGAAGACCAATCTAATTTTGCACTAGCTTATTTTTTTTATTAAGGTATCATCGATATACACTCTTATGAAGGTTTCACATGAGTAACACTGTGGTTACTACATTCACGCACATTATTAAGTCCACACCCCCACTCCATTATAGTCACTGTCCATCAGCATAGCCAGATGCCACAGAGTGACCACCTGTCTTCTCTGTGCTACATTGTCTTCCCTGTGACCCCCCACACACCATGTGTGCCAGTCATGATGCCCCTCAATCCCCTTCTCTCACCCTTCTCACCTGCCCTACCCAACCCCTCCCCTTTGGTAACCACTAGTCCCCTCTTGGACTCTGAGTCTACTGCTGTTTTGTTCCTTCAGTTTTGCTTTGTTGTTATACTCCACAAATGAGGGAAATCATTTGGTACTTGTCTTTCTCCACCTAGCTTATTTCACTGAGCATAATACCCTCTAGCTCCATCCATGTTGCAAATGGTAGGATTTGTTTTCTTCTTATGGCTCAATAATATTCCATTGTGTATATG